GGGTTGAGAGGAACTGACGGTTGCTGGCTCATGCACGGCTGATCAAAGAAGCGAACGCTATCCTGGTGAACTACGCATGCGCGAGCCGGCGGAGCACGGCTATGAAAAGTCTCCGAGCTGCGGCGCCAGGACGGGACCCGACACCTAGAGTGGAGCACCCAGAGTGGAGCACCCACGGGGCCACTCGAAGAAGAATATTTATTTTGGTCTCTTATTTGAAAGTCCTCTTTAGTAGTGGACTGCGTCATGAGTAGGGATGTTAACATGTAGTCGACTACATGATTAACCAATAAGCTTTGAGTCAGCCAGGAACATGACAATTTCCTGAAGGACAGATTGCTGTGGGACATAACAAGAACCAGTTCAAGGTTTTGATGGCACTTGTAGAGGAGTTGCAAATGGTGGAACGCTGCTTCTGAGCCCAAGAAACAAGCAGTGACTGGTGGGATTGTAGTTGAAATGCGCAAAGGTCAAAAGGCGGTGCATCTCCCACCCCCACCATAAACAAGAGCTAGCTGCACTCCTCTGGCTGCATCACTCAGGGGAGGAGGGGAACCATCCTGCACTCACTTGCAGAAAGTAGAACAATGCGGCTGGAGGAGCAGAGCGAGCTGGGGCCCTTGCTCCACTTGCCCCATCCCTGCCAGTGAGTTCAGGGCCGGGGGCCTCTTCTCAGCCCCGCTAGTCCCGTGGGCCGCATTGTTTGGGAGAGGAGAAGGGGGAAGCAAGGATGGAGAGAGGGAGGGCATGCGGTAGAGCCGGGTTGTCCTGGAGCTGGGGAGTGGGTCACATGGCCAGTGGTCCTTCCTGTCCCTCTTCACCAGTGGATGGGATCACCTCATAATGAAGGCTTGGGATGATGAGCAGTGACCGTTGAACTTTTGGATGTGCAAGTCAAGGTTCCCAGATCTGTGGGTTAAGTTTACCTCAGCCCTCCAGTGAGGGAACACCAAAATGAGAGCTGCACTGATGGTGAAGCAGCTAAAAGTGATTATGCTGTAGAATCTTACAACAGTGGATTGTTACTGGTTAGTGGGAAATCATTTTGCAGTTGAAAAATCCATTGTTGAGGCTGTTGTCATGTCTTATCTTTCCTGCTATGCGGGACTGTGACTCTTGACAATGTGCAGGACATAGTGGGGGGATTTGTAGCAGTGGGGTTCCTGAAGTGTGGTGAAGCAATAGACTGCATGCATATCCCTGTTTTGGCAGCAGGCTGCCTTACTACAGAGTGCATCAGGTCTGTTCAGAAAGCTACAAGCAGGAATTTTCTTCTTTACTGGTGGATTACCATTTGTAACGTTGAAATGCCAGTAGCAGTCTTGGAGGATCCAGCCTACACTTACTCCCTGACTCATGAACCTGTACACTGGCCACCTCGACAGTGCCAAGGAAAGGTTTAGCTATGGGCTCAGCAGGTGCAGAATGACAGTTGAATGCAATCTTGGTAGATTTAAGGGACTCTGGTATTGTTCATTCACAAGATTGGATTTCAGTAGAAAAAACATGTCAATGGTTAGAGTGGTCTGTTTTATGAAGCAAATGGAGAAAAATTGCCAAAACAGCAGGAGGCAGAGGAAGAGCTCCTATTAAGAGCAGGTTGGATAGACATCTATCAGGGATGATCTGGACAGTGCTTGGTCCTGCCATGACAGCAGGGAACTGGACTCAATGACCACTTGAGGTCCCTCCAGTTCTAGTGTTCTGTGATTCTGTCAACTGAGTTTGAACAGCCAGGATT